GTGGGTATCTCGATCGATTAGAAGTAGTAACGTTATGCGTGATTCGATTAGTAGGGGTGATAGATTTACCGGAAACCTTCTTTTTCGGTAGTGGAACATTTTTCAAGTTCAATTGTCGCTTTCCACTTGCTGCAGAAACATTGTCCACAGTTTTCGGAAGTGCATGCTTATGTACGGTAGATTTCTTGCTCTTATCACTTTGATCAATATTTCGTGTATTAGAGGATACGGGCGTGTTGTGTCTTTTCACAGCAGTCGCTGCCGGACGTGAATTTGCAGGTATTTTAAATCTCGACAGTCCTTGACCCTTCTTTAGGAACGGTTTCTTCGGCTTGACCTTCGCATCGGTCCGCGCATTCGGCATTTCTGATTCTCTCTTCAATTTCTCTTCTAACAATGTTTGAAAATCTTTTCTAGGTGACGGAAGAGGAATGTCATCGATCGAAGCACATTTGTTTGAAACATTATTCAACGACAGCGGCTTTATCCCTTCCATTAACGAATCGACAACGAATTCCTGTGACAGTACACCAGGGCTGCGTTCTTTCATAGAACTTCCACTTCTATCGACAATTGTAGAGGCACAATCCGAATCGTCACTCTGCTCTTCGTTACAATTTTCGTACGACGGATCGGCATCCGTTAATGTTCTGTCATCAATTATTTCTAGTACATCGTCTGAATTTTTCACATCACATTGAAGCGCTCTATCAGGCATCGTTTCTTCCGCATTTATCCCCGTTTCACGCGTAACACACGCGTCATCTGTACTTTCAATAATATTGAAGTCGTGCGTTGGCAAGCCAAGTGCTTTGTAAATACGATCTTGTTCGTGGCTCAAAATCTCCCTTTGTATTCGTTGTTGGTTTAGCAGTCTCTCTTGCTGCTCCACCTGCCATTGCCTTAATTTCTGTAAACGCTCGGTTATAGATGCTTCCACGTCCATACCGTTTATGATGCCTGAAATAGTTAAAACTACTGATTCAACAACAAATTGTTAACTTAAAATAAAGTGTTCTTGCTCCAAACGATACTCGACAATCTACAACTAGTTACTCCTGTTTATACTGGCTGTGTATATTTACACTATACATATATAGAATAATATCCAGATTATGGAAAAGAATCTCTTAGATAAAATAATTGTCGAAATAAAAATAGACCTGTTCTCTTTAGCTAAACTTCTTGCACGATTCATCTTTTCTCTTTTTCTTTTCACGCTGAAGAACTATGCAAAGTTCAGCTAAAAAGAACAGGTATGCTTTAAACTTGTGCTGAACAATCTGATGACCAACAATCTTTCAATGTAGATAGTAAAAACAAAAATACTTACTTAGAAAAAAACATACGATGCCTCTTTACAGCATTGGAAAATATGACTTCAAAAATGTGGCATAGTTCGATGTATGTAAATATATTTAAAGGTTAAATAAGGATAAAATACTGCAGAGGAAAGTTCGACGTGCAAAAAAACCTAAAACAATAAAGACATAGTTTATAAGTTATTTCATATTCTTGTACTTTCTCTTAACATTCGATTTTATACTTGGCATTCTAACGCACGTGCGGCACTTGTAAATATTTACCAAAATAAACCGGCTTGATTGAATTTTGTTTTGAACATTCTCTCTCGTCACACTCCCATTATTTTTTTATCCTCTCCTTTCTTAGCAAAAAAGATCATAAAAGAACACTCTGATGAAACGCTGAATATTACTACAATTCTAAAGAATCATAAATAAATATCAAACGTTATAACATTTTGAAAGGCTATTTTTATTATCCGTTGATACTAACGTAGAGTGTTTACCAACAGAAAACACAATGGCACCCAAGTCCATGTCACTATAGAGTTTGGACACCATCCGCCATATTCAAATTAACTATGGTGCGCTTTTCAAAATTTAGTATCTATAGAGTTAATTAACAAAAAAAAGTTTAATTCAATTTTAGTTCATATAAATATTATTATTACAAGTAAATCTGTAAAAATACATAATAATAAAATATAACTTTTATCGTTTGTAAAATGATATTAAAATTGTATTCGTAAAAATATAAGAGAATTTATTTAAATAAATTCTCAGCTTGTATAATCTACAAATCCTGAATATAATTTCTATGTTCTCTTTTTATGATTTAAAACCTATATTAATATCTCTTTAATATCTCTATCATTTTTTAACAACTATCTTCTTTAGAGATGTAAAAAAGAAATTATGTTGCGCTTAAAGAAGAAAAGCTAACTACTTAGTGAAAATAGTATAAATGGAACTTTATTTAATATTCTTATCTATATATGTGTATATTTTATAAAATATTTTTTTACGATGAGTAAAAAGACAAAACGAATATCGAAGAAAACCTTATTCAACAAATAGTTGGGTAACAAATTAATTACCTTATTAGTCAAATATAATGTTAAGCATTTTTGCGAAGTTACTAACGTGATAAAACTTCAAGCAGCATTATATTAAATATACTAAAAATATACTATGATTGTAATTAAAAATCTAGAGCGGCGTCACTTTATTATATTAAAATATATCTATATATTCGAAAAATGAAACATGTCGAAAAAGTTACATTTCAGTATCGTTTTGTCATCGTGAAATATTAATACCGTCCATCTAATCGAGAAACTGAGAAACAACCGGAAAAATTTATTATAAATATTTCAAATAAAATAGAACGCTCATGCACCTTATTTTTTGCAATGTTTTCTAGGAATTAATCTTCCTAGATAGCAAGATGACGTCTAAATACGTTTTAATGACACACTGTTGACGTTAGAGACATTATTAATATCATTAAGACATTATTAACACGTCATTTGACGTCACTCTGCTATCGGCTTTTACGACAGTTTCGATAGTATTTATCACATTCTATCAAATTATTAACTGCAGTCTAGTCCGACAGTTATAAAATCGTGAAAATAATTTAGCCCTAAACTCAACAATTCCGACGAGGTGTACTCGACAATTCGCTTATCTCCTGTCAATCGTTAACTATGCGTCTGTATTTCCTATTGGGTGGAAAAACTTCCTCGTCTTCCTCCTTGTCGGGTGCGAGAAAGGGATCGTCATACGCGTAATTTGGTGCCCATTTCAATAACAATTTCTCAAAAAACTCTTCTAAATTTCTAGCCTCTTGGTAAACTTGCGAATCAACCTGAAAAAAAAGAGGGTGATGCGGATAGAAACGCAAAAGAGGGAGGCGACGATGGTAAATAAGACAAAAAGAATTAAGAATTTTGATCGGCTTACAGGATTGTAGGTAAAAGCATTTTTAAACATGAGTCTGATGTCAGCCATGACTTGTCTCAGATCTGTGTAATGGTCCGCATGATCCGATTTCAATTTATCCCTGATTATGTCTAACGCAATTGGCTTCTTGATAATCCGATGATAATCAGTAATCTGCCGGACAAAAAAACGATCGCTAGATTACCTGGACTTGTCAATCGAGTACCGGTATCGCGAAAAAATGTTTTACTGCCTCGTCATTTACCTCGCTCGATACAACCTCCCGAAAAGGTAGGCTCTGTTCATACTGACAATAAAGTTCCAAGACAATCCTTTGTGCAATTCGCAATTCCTTCGCGCTCATACCGCTTGGCCTTTTTTCACTGCTCGATACATCGTCCGAGCAATCGAGTACATTTGTACATAGCATACACTGCCAAGTTTCACTCTCGCTGAAAGAAGCACTATTTAATTAATAATAGTGAAGAGAACAGACGAGCGTGATAAAGATACATCGTGAGTGGGAAGCTTACTCTGGAAATGATTGTAAACTAGGTATATGACAATAAAGATGGAAGACTTTTGGACATTTGTCGCAGCACAGTACCGCGTCTCCCCCGTCCATACATACGGCACACCAGTCCTCGTTTGGATCGTCCTTCATCACCATAGAAGCGGTTGTGCTTTTCGAATTCTCCGCTGAAAGAGAGGTACAAATTGATATAAAAAGCCTGCGCGAAGTCCTGGTCATACGGCATCAAAAGCAATTGAAAGTATAGTTAACACTTTGAGCTAATAAAATGAAATAACACCAAGTTCAACTAACCCGTTGTATTCTCAGCCATTGAGTTTATATCCTCGTCGGTGGAACTATCAACTTGTGCCGAATCTACCTGATTTCTTTGAGCTTCTGGTATCACTAGGATTCCATTACTATCTAATTTCGCAATAGTGAGCATCAGATCATTCAACGATTTCTGACAAAACTTATCTAAACTCTTTTCGGTGTCGTCCGACTTGCCAGGAGTGGTCACAGGACTAGGTGTTTTGGGTATGGACGAGCTGACAGCATGTAGCAATGACACAGTGGCTGAATTCTGCAACTGTGGCGGATTGTCGCACGAATTGGCGTTTACATTGGTGTTATATTTTTGATTATTACCGGTTTGTTGATTTCTTAATGTAATTTTGTATGTATCATTGGTAGGAACTGGGGTATAAGTGGGCATATGTTGCTGTCGAGGCAAGGTATAAGGAAGGCAAGGATTCGCTTGTTGCGGTATGTGCCAACGATGGATGGGATAATTTCCCATGTGCTGCGTTGATGGGGAAGTCAAATTGCATTGTTGCAAACGTGTCGTCACAGGTACAACGGATGTATTTGCTTGATATGTGTGGGGTGGTGGTACTTGGACTCTCTGTGGATTGCCACCTGAAGAATATCTGTATCCAGGAGAAAATCGGTACGGTACGGTATGATTGGCAGTTGCCCGGAACGACGGATAAGGAGGCGGTGGAATGGAATTGTGCGCGAGAAGCCCGCGTAAACTTGTGTTCTGTCCAAGCTGATCCAAATTCTGAGCTTGCTGATGTGGATGCGTGGACGATGTTACTTGCTGCTGATGACAGGTTCCCAACGGGCGTTGTTGATGCATCAACGGAGGTTGCTGTAATCTAGTGTTGCTATAGTTTACAGAATACTGCACCCGTGGCTGAAGCGCTTGTGGCGATGATCGAGGTGACATATTATGCGGCGCGATATACTGTTGCATATAATTTGGTGATTGTTGCGCGTGTTGTTGTTGTTGTTGTTGTTGTGGTTGCGGCTGTTGCTGCTGCTGTTGTTGTTGTTGCGGAAGATGCAGAGGTGCTTGTTGCGGGTAAGAATTCTGTTGCACGCTAGTGGATTGCTGTGTTACCATTGCAGGTAATGGTAATCCCTGCTGAATAACAACGGGAACAATACTGTCCGTGTGAGTATTTACCGAATTCGTAGCTTGCTTCGGTTCGGCTTGCGATTCGTTGTAAGTCACCGTGCTGTTATTGTTAGCCATTGGAGATAAGGACGGGTATACTCTACCATCGACGACTATTGCCCCAATTGATGACACCACTGCAGATGCAATATGAATATATTGGATTATGCTCACATATGGTGTAAAATGTAATCGATTATTGACTTTCTTTAATTTCAGTATTACTTCTAATTGTTGATTAAACCAGTTATTAAATAAAAAGTTGTTTAATGTTGCGTCACAAACCTTTTATTAAATCTGGTACTTTTTCCAAAGATAAATGTATCCTGACAGGTATCTCAGGATTTGGGATATCGGCTCGTCTACTTTTTATTCTTTGTAAATGACTTGTAACAGATCTGTAAAAATATCATGTAATTTTGTTACATATTTGTGTAAAATATATAGCGCATATAATATACACACACGTATATATGCATGCACATGTACATGCATATGTTTATGTAGGAAGTTTTATCTAATTCCAACAATTGGAACTTCCAACTTAAGTAATGTAAACAAAGTATTTGAGACAAAAATTATTTGGTTTTGTGGGAAACATAAAAAACAGTAATCTTGGCTAACAGCTTCAAAGTCATCAGTTAAAATCCACTTATATTTTTCAATGAAAATAAACAAACTTTTTTGACGTAAATTCTGACGTGATTTCCCTCGATATTCTATATACACAAAAGTATAAAGATACTATGACAAACATTAACAGTTTATAGTAACATTTCATATTTTGATGTAAAATATATCTTGTACATTTTTTCACAATATTAAGGTAGAATTGTATGTGTATAAATATATGTTTGTATACATCTATAATTTCAGTATACTTTTTACTATATAATAATTCCATGTCCGAGCCTTTCTTCAAAGCATGAGTGCCAAAGAGTATACAATGATCCGTAAGCCTGGATAGTTGATCTAAAGCAATTTTTTTCTCATTCAACGTATTCTGCTTTTGATCACACACTTCATTCAATCTCATTACCAACTGCTTCCCTCTTGTATTAATGGCATTTGTTAATCTGACATAAAAAAGTTAAAATATTAGTAATAGAATCATATATCCTAGTGAAAATATGCATGTACGCTTGCAATACTTACTGTACGACCATTTGTGTTATATCTTGAACAAGAGTTTTTTTCTTCTCCTGTATTAGAATCTGTCTATCCTCTATAACTTTCATCGCGCTTTTCAATAATACTCGTTTGTAACTGAAAATTATTCGTTTTTAAAATCTGCAATCTCTCCGATAGATGTTCTACCTTAATTGTTATTATTTACAGATCCTACCTTACTTCTTTAAGCAACATTGACATGGAAGTACGCGTTTCTGCTGCAATTTCATGAATAAAACTATATTTATGATCACGATGTTCGTTGAGTTGACAATCTCTGCAGGTCAGTCTATCACACACTTGACAAAATACAGATAACTGTTCGTGGGAATGGATTGTGCAAAATAAATATCCAGGTATCTTCTTATTTCCTCGTTTAACATTTTCTCTATCATTTGCTATTTCATCCTTAGGTTTAATTATATGATCCTTGGTTATCTTCAATCTTTGATGAGCCTTAAAACAGTTTCATCCAATATGATTAATCAACATTTTACTCCCACTTTTTAATCCAAGAGGCATAACGTATAGACCGTATATATGTATATTGCTTGTGTTTTATTCGTTTAAAAATCCATTCTTTAATCTAAGAGGCGTAACATATAGACCGTATATATGTATATTACTTGTGTTTAATACACAATTTATAATCACCATAACACAATTCTGGCAGATAAATTCTTCGCACTCCATGCAATAACTGGTAGCAACAATGTTATCGTGGCAGCTGGTACACTTTTTCTCTTCCTCGGCTTCCTTACTCTCATCGTCCAATCCTAGATCACTCTCTTCTTCCAATAGCTTGGAGAAAAATCTGTTCTCGATCAAATTTTCCACTTGGCTGGCCACATTGCAAACATGACACATAAGGACGTTACTCTCCACTGCAAAAGATAAACATTGTTACAAATGTAAAATGTATTTAACGTAAAGTTACGACAGGTGCCAAAAGTAAGAGCCAACCAATGTTGGCTGAGATTTATAACAACCCTAACGGACGAGTACATATAAACTTTATCAGAAGCAACTTTACAAGGGGGATTGAGAGTAGAAAAGAGCGTACACATGTTTACATACACAGTACATCCACGTCGACCGACGTATTGTGATCGCTGATCTTATTATTGACGCATATTGTGCATGCTGCGTGTAAGCACTCGAGAAGCTTCGGGTTGTCTCCCATGGTGAACGTCTTGTTGCAAAAGACGCACTTTGACAAAACTGCGCGGATCTCACTCTCCTGACCCTCGGTGGTGCACTCGATACGCTGGTCGTTGCATTCCTCCTCGATGCAAACCGCATCCTGCACTTGAGGCTGTTGGGTGTCCTGCTTGGAGCTGTTTTGCTCCACAGGCTCCTCCTTCACCACCGCAGGCAGTACCGGCAACGTTGACATACCCACCATTAATTCGTTACTTTGGCTTTCCATGATTGTGCAGAAGCTCGACGGCGCCGGTCCCTTCGTTGTTTTTGGCAATTGAGTTTACGTTATAATTTGTGGCAACAAATTTCGCTCAAATGGTATAGCGGGTGCAGCGCCATGGCAGCCATTTTGATTAATACATATGTATGTACACATTCGCGCGGGCAAAAGGATCGCAGCGCCTGCGTTCGATGAGCTTCGGAACGCATTCGGTTACTAAAATTTATTTTTTTATTAGCTGTTCTCGGAAAAAAAGATATAAAATCGTTTTTTGTGTTCAAAAATGTGTAATACGGAAGTAGGAATGTTTTAATATGTAAAGAGTGCACGTCGACATGTTGACAATAATATTAAATATAGTTCGAGTCAAACGTACTATAGATTTTCGATAGGCGACATGTTTCACCCAAAATTGCGTGC